ATTTAATCACTATATTGGCCTTAGGTAGGTTTTAAGCAATAAACGAGATGATTAGAGCCCAATCAGGAAATATGAAGAAATCAAGTAATGTATCAGGGTGTGGTGAAGCAACATGAAAACCAAAGATTTTTGTGAAAAAGAATAATTTGTTTTTAAAGTATGTCTAAATTTCTAGTTGAGAAGCAGTGGTTAGAAAAGTTGGTTCTAAAACCATATCATCTAACACTTCTACAACAGTTTACAACGGACTTTTAAGTATTATCCCAATAAATTCTCTCAACCCGCCAGAGATGCTATCGTTTGAATTTTACAGATAAAAGCTACTTTCATAAAGATTAATGTACTCTAGTACTAATGAAGCTGGGACAACCACATAGTTCTTTCACTCTTTCAACCTGAAGAGTCTCATTACATGAACAAACCGATTTTAAAAGTATGCCTCAGAATCCTCTCTATCGCTATGCCAAGCTGTCTGCACGGAAGAATAAACGATGAGACAATATTGGCTACTCTGTGGCAATCTGCACTGAATCCTGACCCAGCCTGACTTGCGACACACATACACAAAAATCCCCGCACAAAGCAAAGGTATCTTCAAGAATCTCCTGCCTGTCTACAGCTGAAAGACGAAGTAGCTCACGGCTTAGAATACCAGTGTCAAGTCTAACCGACCCAGCTAACCGACCTTGGGAAACTCACTCGACCAAAGGAGGGATCTCGGGACTATAGAGACAGGTACCCTCCGCGAACAGGTATAGTGCAGGGTATATAGTGCAGGAGCACCCTTTGAAAACGGCAGGCATCCTCGGCGCTTGGCACACAGTGGCGCTGAACGAATGTGGTCTCCCGGTCCCGCTGGGAGAGAGCTCAGCCCTGCCTAGTCCTCCGCGCTCCGGGAAATACAATACCTGGAAGGAAGCCTCCAAACTCTGTACCCCGGAACTGAAACGTGCTGGGTACAATAAGAAAACCTATCGCCGTCACCTGATCCTGATTTGCGGGCAAATTCTTTCCTCAACGCCAGGCAACTTTTCTGGAGGATCGCGGGGAAGGCTCAGAACTCATTGCTAGTCCTGGTCCCCTAGCATGGGACGTAACAGGCTTGGTTATGTCACTCACGCCTCCCTTCTATCCCAGACCTTTCTTCTGGTGGTGTCCTTTCCAAAACCCGGAAAAAAGGCCGAGGGAGCCCAGCGTGTACGGCCAAAAGTATGCACTACATGCCCCAGGGGACCTCGCGTCGAGGGTCGTGGAATAGACGTGGCATACGCATTTTGGGGGAATTCTGGGTATTGTAGTTCCTCATTGAGAGAGTCTTGGGTAGCACGTCGTAAACCATTGTAATTATAGGTCCTTGTTGTTTAGTCGCTAAGTCGTGTGGGACTCTTTTGTGACTGCATGGACTATAGTCCACCAGGTTCCTGTGTCCATGGGATGGATTTCCCAGGCAAAAATACTGGACTGGGATGCCATTTCTTCAGGGGCTCTTTCTGACCGAGAGATGGAACCTGCGTGTCCTGCATTGGCAGGTGGATTCTTTACCACTGAGCCACCAGGGAAGCCTTTAGGGTATTTGTTTCTCAACTATAAGAGGTTTTCTGCCAGTCCATGAAACACTGATATTTTTATAACATACAATATAAGTGAATATTTAGAAAAGCGAAATATGAAAACTTAAATGTGGAAAAGACATGTGCAGATTTTAATTTCTTATTATATTCAACATGTATGGAATAGCTATGGAATGACTATGAAAGCATCAAAACTTCTCCCCATTTCTGCACTGTGTCATGGCAGACAGGTACCAGTTCTAGACCACAAATGTTTTTAACAGCTTTATTGAGAAATTATTTACACACCATACAATTCACCCATTCACAGTGTAAAATTCAGTGACTTTTTGTAATTCAGAGTTGTGGAACATCACCACAATCAATTTTTGGCCTTGTATTATCTTGAAGAAGTTTAACATGGATTTTGCTCTAGATTGGCTACTATGAGGAATTTACTGGGCATCTTAATAAATTTTATCTAGAAGGCAGAAAGAATGAAGCTAAGTTAAAGCTGGGATTGGTAAAGAAGCAGCTGTCACTCCTAACAGCCACAACAGGTAGATGTTTGGTCATTTTTTGTGGTTTGGACACTACTGTATTTTGTCTAAGTTCAGGTATGATTATGGTATGGTCTTGTTTTGGTCCTGACGCATCAGTCAGAAAGTGGCCTTGTTTCATGTTGGTATTCTGTGCAATTGTTATGTTCAGCAGAAATACCAAGGCTAAGCTATGAGTGCCAGACCAGCTCCCGGCAACAATAGGCCTAAATGATAGTGACAGTCTTCTTTATGGCCCAACTCTCACATCCATAGATGACTACTGGAAAAACCATAGCTTTGATTATATGAACCTTTGTTGACAAAGTGATGTCTCTGCTTTTTAATACACTGTCTAGGTTTGTCATAGCTTTTCTTCCAAGGAGCAAGCATCTTTTAATTTTGTGGCTACAGTCACTGTCTGCAGTGATTTTCATCTGCAATGATTTTGGAGCCCAAGAAAATAAAATCTGTCACTGTTTCCACTTCTCTACTTGTCATGAAGTGATGGTACTGGATGCCAGGACCTTAGTTTTTGTAATGTTTTCCTGATGGCTGAAACTCAAGGCAATACATTCTAACCTAATCATGCAATGTCGAGGCCCTGGAGTATGTTGGAATTACATATAAGGAACTTAAGGTCCTGACTGACTATGTGGAGGGGAGTTGCCCTTTGATCTGGCCCACTCACCAGACCTGTTATTTAAGAGAGAAATAAGTCCTTTGTTCCTTAAGCCACCATATTGTTGGAGGTAATACTTCCTTTTACTTGCAAAAGCTTCCTTCTTGGAACAATAAACCATGTCAAATTTATTTGGGAAAGTTTTGGATTTCAAAGACCATTGAACTTTCAACATGCCTGGGACCCAGCAAAGCACACCAATTTTTCATTCGTTTAAGTAAGGACATCTGGATAAAGAAAGCAACTACCACAGTCTAAGAAAAGATGTGGCTTTTGGGATTTTAGTTTCCTGACCAGGGATTGAACCCAGGGTCCCAATAGTGACAGCGCTAGAGTCCTAACCACTGGATCAGCAGGGAATTTCCCCCAAAAACAACTCTTCTTAAGAATAGTGAAACCTTTGTCATAGTTCACCACCAGCCACCAGTCTTTGAATTGACATTTGTAAAGCTGCTTCAAGACGTCTTTCAGGAATCCTCTAAAATGTGACCATTTATAATGTATACTATATCTAAGTAATTATTAATACTTTACTATTAAATAATTCTTCAGTCACTTCATAGAAAAGTCTATCTCTCTAAGAAAAAAGTATATCCTGGAACAAATTAGTAATACTACCTTTGCACACCTCAAAATGTTAACTATGGTATAATCTGTACTATATCCTCAAAGATTGTCTCTAACTGAATGGATGAGAAAGAGGGAAACTACACCTATGTCATAGCAATGTTACACATTACCTCTACATGTAGAAATCTAAGAAATGAATTTGTATATCAAAGCTAAATAAAAGTATATTCTAAGGAATCTGAATTAACAAAAGTCAAACCAATGCTTTAAAAAATCTATCTCAATATAGTGCCCACTATAAATTAGAATTTTAAAGAGTTGCCCTCCTCACTGCAAAGTGTGAACTCACATGACCTCTAAATCGTTTGAAGATGAGTATGACGCTACTTTCCTGCAATGAAAGCAATGGCTTAAAGTGGCCAAGATTGTCCTCTCAGTTTTACAGCTAATAAAACCGGTGAAGACCCTTAAGTGTACCTACCACATGCTCAGCTGTTGTTGATAATTACTAATTTACCAAAGATGAAGGAGTGAAAATGTTTAATGATTGTAACTTTCTTTTCATACAATAATAAAATCTAAGTCCTCTGTTTCTTTTTGTTTGTTTTTACAGAAAAACAGTTTTATTGTAAGAAACTGGCTTACAATTGTGGGGGCTGGAAGCCTGAAATCTGTAGGGTGGGTGAGAAGGCTATAAGTGCACATAAGAGTTGATATTGCAGTCATGAGTTTGAAATCAACACAGCAGACCAAGCATGTTGGAAACCCACGCAAAGTTTCTATAATGCCATCTTGAGGCATAATGCTTTCTTCCTGAGGAAATCTCAGCCTCTGCTCTCAAGACCTTAAGCTGATTTACTTTTAAGTCTTGGAATTGTAAATGTTTATCACATCTAAAATATACCTTGGGAACCACATCTAGACTATTCTTTGACCAAATAACTGGGCACCATATCCTAGACAAGTTGACACATAACACTAACCATCACCAAGGGAGCTGTTTTCTTTAAAACACATGGCGTATCTTCACAATCCCTCAACTCCCCTGAATATCAGGGGGAATTATTATAATTCAAACAATCTAGGAACTCTTAATCTCTTGAAACATTTAAATAGCAACATATGTCCTAAATAGTATTCTCCCCAGAAAGCACTGGATTTGGAGTCAAAGCCTTACTTTGGTATTTAGGAACAATGTTATTTGGGAAGGCACTTATCTTCTTTGAACCTCAATGTCTTTATCTGTGAAACAAGGATAATAACATATCATGGGGTTGCTATGAGAAATTTTTTAAAAGACAACAAAGGGCGTCAATGTCCTCTATAATTTCCTCCTTTCCTCAAATAGCACTTTGTTCATTTTTTTTTTTTTTAATGTGTGTCACGGCATTAACTAGAAGCTGACCTGGGAAGCTCTTTGAAAGTAGGGTCTCCTTCCCAATACCCTGGCAGAGGCTCAATCAATGTTTATTAAGTGAAGCCTTCATTCACGAACGACTTGGCATTCTAACGGTTACAAACGCTGTCAATCAACTTACACAAAAACCATTAAGCTACCTATGGGCCAGGCATTTAACTCGCACCAAAATTCTAGAACTCCAGGGAGGGTGAGGTAACGCAAGCAAGGGATCACCAGAAGACGCGGGCCACCGAGAAGTGACGTATTTCCGGCGCGACGTTTCCCCTCCACGCCGGGACTGGGTTGTGGGGGGAGGGAAGCAGTTAGTGGTCTTTAGCGCCTTTTCTGGCGGCGGTAGATTTGAAGCGCTTTAAAGGACCGGACCCCAGGAAGAGGAGACTGGACTGGGTCAAGTAGGTGGCGCAGGGCCTGTGTTGTTTCCGTACCGTCCTTTGCAGCAGTGTCGGGGTGCGAGAGCGGGAAGGGCCCTAGAAGAGGGGCGGAGCCGGCGCGATAGGCCCATACCGATTTAACCGTCTTCCTCTCAAGATATTGGGGCTGTCCGATCCCAGAGGGGTCCCCGAGGATCGTGGCGCGAGCTTTGCAGCAGGTGCGGCTGGAGACGGCTTCCAGCCGCGCCTTCCGGACCTGGAAGATGGCCCTCCCCCTGCCAGCCCCCGCCCTCCCTTCTTGGGCGCACACCTCCCTCCCTGACGCATTTTGCCGCACAAGCTGTAATATGGCGGCAGCGACGGTGGCCTGAACTCTAGGGAGCCGGGGTGATTTTGATGCTTCAAAATCGTAAGACCGAGCACGAATGCGGGGTAGGTGGGAGGATAGGTGGGGAAACGGGACGCGTTACCTGCCATCCTGTCAGATTAGGGGTGGAGAGTGGCAGGCGGGGAGCCTGGATCTCAGGGGTTAAGATTAGAACGAAGAGAGGCTTTCCCCCTGCTCCGACCTTTTCCTCTCGTAGCGACTATCTTGCGTAGTGTAGTGGCACAGGCCACTTAGTTCTCCCCAAACTCAAATCCAGGCTCTTCACTTCTTATCCCAGGTCTGACTCCCAAGTTCTCCCACGTTTCCGAAGAACTGTGAGCAGCGCAGGCCTTTTAGGAGGAATTACTCTTGGAGGAAGGTGATGGCTTCGGAATTCCAAATGCTTTGGGGGAACTGTGCGAATTTGGCTCGTCTTTAGTCTTTTAAGGTGCTGAATCGAGGTTTGCAGGAATGGGAAACTCTTAGTCGTTTTGAAAATGTTATAAAAGCACCATTTTGTGCATTGATTTTCATTTCTAACCACAGTGGTACTTTATGCAGGACCAAGTGTTTGCAGTAGTGGTCAGAAATGCGTCCAAGGAACAATTAAATATGGAAATTAGGGGGTACGCTTAATTTTCAGTAGCCAAAACCAGATAGAAAAAGTGAATCTGTGGATTACCGTTTGGCAAAGAATGGCTGGCTTGTACCGATGATGGAGAGGGGGTGTGTAAAACCAGTTTTGAAGTCGCGGTATAAAATCCAGAAAAAGAATGGCTGTTTCTCTAATTCATGTTTTTTATTTATGTGAAAATTTACCCGTTTTATCCCCCCTCCTTTTTTTTTTTTTTTTAAATTTAATCATTTAAGATGGGATCTTCTCTCTAAGGAATTACATACATATGTTTTAAACAGAGCTCCCTTTACCTTAACGTTTTCTTTATGGTTCAAGAGTATTGGTGTCCTGAGATCCTAATGGCGTCTTGTCTTGTATTAGGATTCTGTGCCTTCTTAAAAATTTTGTTTACTTTTTAAGGTTTTTGCTTTTGCGAACTTTTGTCAGGGTTGCCTTCCCCTGATGTCAGGAGTGTACAAGTAAGCAAACTTACAAGGTTAGAAATTTTGAGTTCTTTTCTGATCCAGCCATCTTTCTGAACCTCATTATTTTTTTCACTTATAAAATTATATTCTAATTTCAGGCTATTACCAAGCTGTGGGCTTCAAAAGTAAATATTCAGCTTTGTTAAAATTCTGTGTAAAATTAGCTTTGAGTAAGAGCTCAGTGGTTCCCCTATGAGGGAAAAGCATACATTACATTTATTGTGACTTATTAAAGGCCTTTCATTTTTGGTGCTTGACACTGTGGTCTTGCAGTATCTGTGTTCTTTAGGTAAAGACTTTATTCTTTTGATATTTTGCATATTTTAAGTTAGATTTCCTGTCAGGCAGCATCCATTCTCCCATACATCAGGAAATTGGTAGTAGTTCATAGTAGGATGAACTAGTTCTACTAGTTGTCAGGGCACCATCTACAGTTCTTCAAGTGTTGCTCTTTTAAGAAATATATGTTGATGTTTTCCCTTATTGTTTTATTTATAGGATATTTCAACAGGATTAGAATGTATTATTTATTCTCTGTATCTTCATGTACTAAGGTGTCTTACTTGTTATATGTAGTTGGAATCCATAGATAATTAATTCAAGTTATTTGAAGAGTTTATTGCAAATCTCTCTGCTACACAAGTTTTTTTTTCTTCTTTTTGGTCTTTAATATTAGTACCAGTTTTTAGTTTTCATTTAAGTGTCAATGGTTTTGACCTGGTGTAATGAATATATGGTCTCCGTAAGAACTCCATATATTTTTATTTCTTTAAGGCAAATCTTGCATCTTGAAATATACTACAGGCAGTGTTATAAATTCTCTGTATGCTGTAACTGGGACTTTGTACTTTTAGTACCAGACAGGAAATGTTTTACACTTCGTTTTAGTTTGAGTAGTGGCTTAAAATGATTACCAACTTGTTCTTGGAATTTAATTATGTCATACTTACGGGTATCAATTTTTGATATTAAAATTGTTATTTTTAAAGCATGAGTGATTCCTTAACGTACTGATTTTTAAATTGCATGAAGCCTGATTGTATATGTTAATAAGCTACTGTTAATTGTGCATAAACTTTAGCTTAAGGTTTATTCATAATTAAATCTTTGCATCATGGTCACTTGGTAAAAAGTAAAATTATGTAACCATTATCTGGAATATTTATGAATAAGCTACTATTTTAATTGGAGGACAATTACAATATTGTGATGGTTTTTGTCTTATATCAATATGAATCAGGCCCAGGTTATAAGCTACTTTCCACAGTGAAGCTATTATCTTAACCAGAAAACTCTTACTTTTTTTCCCTCCACTTGTGACTTTGAGCCAGTCACTTCAACTCTCTAGTCTTCTTGTTCCCAAGTCTATACAATTAGAAGATTGGACCAGATTACCTATTTCCTTCAAACTTCAAAAGTCTGTAGTTTTTTATTTAGGAGTTACTGGATTAAATAACACACTGCTAGAATGGTTTGGTTCTATCTCTTGAGACTGTGGGATAAGTTTATTGTTATAAGAGCTTAGATAATTGCAGGTACAATATTAACAATATTAACAGATTTCCCAGTTGGTATATGGTTTTTAGTTTGGTACTAGCATAGTTGTACTAGATTTTTACGTCTCTCAGATTGTACGTGCAGTAAGTTATTTAACACCAAACTTGGCATCATACCAGCTTTTCTCTTTTTAAGTTTTCTGAAGGATTTAGGAATTTAGTAAGTGCCTGAAAGTGAAGTGAGTTAGTTGCTCAGTCGTGCCTGAGTGTTCGTGACCCAGGGAGTGCGGCCCACCAATCTCCTCTGTCCTTGGAATTCTCCAGACAAGAATACTGGAGTGGATAGCCATTCTCTTCTCCAGGGGATCTTCCTGACTCAGGGCAGACCCAGGTCTCCTGCATTGCAGGCAGTTTGTTTACCATCTGAGCTATCAGGGAAGCCCTACTAACTGCCTATACACTGTTAATCATGTTTTTATCAGTGCAGAGGTTTGTGACTGTCAGAGACACTAAGGGAAAAGGAACTATATGGAAGATTATAGTTGCCTTTTCTGACATCCCAGAATGTCAATTTGTTTGTACTTGGTTCACTAACAACCTGGCATTTGTAAATATATTTAGATATCTTTTAACCAGTCCGTTTTTATTTCTCATTTGTTTTCTGTAAATTACATTAAGGTAGACAGTAATGTAAAATGTGATGTTAGATTGCTGTCTTTGAAAGTCTTCAATGTCTGCTGTGCTTTTAATTAGTTTAACTTAATATGATTGTACTTAGAGGTGCAAGTCTTCTATGAATATTGCTACCTGTTTTATTAAACTTAAACAGATGAGAACTTCCCATCTTTATTTCTTGGTCTTGAACTGAAAATGCTGTCTCTTAAAGTGGATTCTGTTTAAAGAAAAGAAAATAGATACTTTGTTAAGAGAATGCAGTCTCAGTAGGCATATCTAAAGAATAAGCTTCTTTCAGTTGTGGAATAGGCTGAGAGGATTTACTCACTACAGATACATATTAGCAATACTGCATGTGGGAAGCAGTGCATGTGGGAGAAAAGGCCCTGAGTACCGTCTTCTGCTCAAGCCTTCACTAGCATTCCGTTCGGCAGTGTAGTGCTGGACCAGGCATTGTGCTTGGTGTTGAAGATAGAAAGGTTCTGAGTTCAAGGAGTTTGCTAATGTTTGGTTGTTAAGTTTTGTCTGATTCTTTTTCGACCCTATGGAATGTAACCCACTAGCGCCTCTGTCATTGGGATTCTCCAGGCAAGAATACTGGAGGGGGTTGCCATTTTCTTCTCCAGACAAATTTATGATAATAAAAATAAATCAACAATCTTTTTAACTTCAGAGGGTCAGGGTGAAACTCCTAGAGTGTACTTTGGCTATGTTCAATCTTTAAGGACAATTAGGAATTAACCAAGGGAGTCAGAAAGGGCAAAGACCTGCTTGTCATTGCAATAGTTAAGAGTATCTACTATCTCCTTTTTCAAGACTTAGTACTCTGCAGACTCCCTCATACTGTGTGAAACTTCCAAATAATTCTTGGAATTAAGAATGTAATTCCATGTAATGAAGAATGTAATAAAGTCACTGTGTTGTTTATTGCCTAATTACAAATTTCACTTTCACTTTGGGGCTTCCCTGGCAGCTCAGCTGGTAAAGAATCTTCCTGCAATTCAGGAGACCTGGGTTCAATCCCTGGGTTGGGAAGATCCCCTAGAGGAAGGCGTGGCAACCCACTCCAGTGTTCTTTCCTGAAGAATCCCCATGGACAGAGGAGCCAGGTGGTCTATGTTTTAATAATTAGTTGCCTATGTCCTTCTGCCCCCCACCTCCAACCTTCATGTTACTTTAGGCGAATATGGAAATTATTTCATGTCTGAAGCTACAGGATTAAACTTTTTACTTATGAATTTGTTTCATCTCTGATATTTTTATGAAATATATTTGTTGCAGAAGTTTCAGGTGGAGCAGTGGTAAAGAATCCTCCTGCCAATGCAGGACACATAGGAGACAGAGATTCAGTCCCTGGGTCATGCAGACCCCTTAGGGTAGAAAGTGGTAACCCACTCCAGTACTCTTGCCTGCAAGACTCCAGGGACAGAGGAGCCTGGCAGGCTGCAGTCCATAGGGTCACAAAGAGTTGGACGCAACTGAGCGCAAGAGCACATGGCATACCATACATCCTACCATTTAATATTTTGAAACTTTGTGATTATGATACTGTTGATAAATGAAAATATTTGTAATTCTATCTGCTTAGAAGAAACTCAAAGAATATACATTAAAATTTTAAAAGTTATGGCTTAATTTAATGCATTTTTGTGTACTCAGCTTTTTTCATGAGCTTGTTAGCTTTACTGATTATCTTTAAAAGTGTTTTCTTTATAAATTAAGTAGATGGAAGTATCAAATACTCAGATTTCTGAGGGAGTCAGGCAGGTGAGGTGAATGCAAGAGCTCCAGTAAATGATAAATGGTAACAGCTAACATGCAGTAGTGGAAACTAGGTCAGACTGGAACATATGTACCTCATCTAATGGGGTATACTGTGCTGGTTGCTGTACAGGAATGGGGCATGTTGCTCAATATGATGATTTTTTTAAAAGAAAAAATTATAGCTGCATTTTACAGGAATAGCTGCAACTCATTTAGATTAAACAGCTATGCAGTGAACAGTTCACCTGCAGATTGTTGCTCTGAAAGCTTTCTTTGTGAATTATTCTTAGGAAATTCATGACTTATTTTATTGAAAATTGCATAGACTTGAAAATTGTGTAGA